AAACTTTCGCAAAAAAAAAGCAAAAAGGATGAGGAAGTTAAAAATGAAAAACCAAAAAAACATTATTTTCATATTTTCGCGTACATTTTGTGTACGTACACAAAAGTTCTAAACAACTTTGTATTGAACTTATTACTGTAGAACTTTTCGTTAAATTCGATTTTTCCCTGACCTCAGTTCGCCCGTAATTTATATTCCATATATTTTGGGAATATTCTCTTCCCTGTGCAATGGGTTTCATTCTACAACTTTTTAACAATATATCCGACAGTTATTGACGCTATTGATTCTGATCTACTAATTAACATTACAATATTATTGCAGAGTCGAGCAGAGATTTATATATATAAATGCGGGTTATTATGATACTACATAATATAAAATCAAACGTAATTGGACGCTGGATCTATTCAAAGAATGTACCTAAATTAGTGGCAACTAAAAAACAACGCCAAAGCTTTTATTCGTAACTAGCTAATTCCGCGCGGTTTCACTCGCTCTGCTCGGCGCCTATTAATCGTAGCGTGATGTTTTATAGCCTATAGCCTTCCTCGATAAATGGGTTATTCAACACAGAAAGATTTTTTCAAATCGGACCAGTAGTTTCGGAGATTAGCGCGTTCAAACAAACAAACAAACAAACTCTTCAGCTTTATAATATTAGTATAGATTAGTATAGATATTCTCATCAACATGGACAGTCTGTAAAGTCCACTGCTGAAGTGTGGCTTCCTGTACATAAGGGGGATTTGATAGGGTACCTATTCTATAATCTATAAATATACTATAATCTATAAATTTAGGTACTATTATCTCTGTAAGAATTCTAATCGTCATCCAGATCCGTTCAACTGCTCTATCGTGATTGAGCAACGGACATTCAAACCTTATTGGCTATGTGCGCGACGATGGCGACGCGAAGCGTTTACAACATTTGCGGAAGCTGTCAAATAATAACAATGTAAACATTATAATTGTCTTTGCAAATATAAATAAAACCAAAGATTAAAATAGTATTGTTGACATTATTTAAGTGCAATTTATTCAATAGTTTTACTGTAAAATGAATCCTTACTAATATTGTAAATCGGAAAGTGAGTTTGTTTGTTCCGCTTTCACGCTGTAACTACTAAACCGATTGCTTTGTTTTTTTGCAGACGTAAAGTTAGAAGTCTGGATTAAATAATGAGGTACTTTTTATCCCGGAAAAATCGATATTCTCGAGGAAAAACGAAATCATTGGTATAGATGGCGCTGTGTGTATATGTCACATAGGCTACTTTTAATCCTTTTGTAACGCGAGCAAAGCTGCAGGTAATCAGGCTGCTGCTGCTGATCGGCTGATTGCAGGACAAGGGCCTGCAGTGGGACGATCATGGCTGAAAATAAATAAATAACGCGAGCGAAGCCGGTATTATCCTTTTGTAACGCGGATAAAAGCTAGTATAATATTGCACGGTTGGTGCGGTGGCTGGGCAACCGGCTGCCGTGTAACGTGTCGCGGGTTCGAATCCCGCACGCATTGTGTATGTGAACTTGTATGTTTGTAAACGCACCCACGACACAGGAGAAGATGTGTGGGGCAACGTTTTTTAAAAAAATATATATATAAAAACCGGGTTTGCATCATCCGCATTTGTTTCCAATTTCTGCCATGTTGTGCGCTGCGGTCGTTATCTGTCCGCCACTACTCGCTTTGCACATAGCCAATAACTACCATAATTATACTTGCTGATTCGGCTAACTTTGTATCGCCTCAATTTTTCTTTCACATATTTTAAACCGGGAAGGTTTTGTCTTCATAAACATTTCTAGACCAAAATTAACCAAATCGGTTGAGTCGTTCTTGAGTTTTAGCGAGACTAACGAACGGAAATTAATTTTTATTTATATAGATAGTTTAGTGTCTATCTTATATAGGTGTCGCGGAGAACCTAACGGGTAACCGGCGCTCCGACTCGACGTGCAGGAAGAGGAACGGGGTGGTTTTTAGACAGTAAGAGTCTGACACTCCCTCCCGCCTCACCCAGGCGAGAGCAGTCATTCGATGATTTTCCCCCCTTTAAAAAAATCTTATATAGGTACTATTTTATATAAGTATATAGAAATTGATTCCTCTTGTACGATGCTTACTGCTAATCCAAAAAGGCATACAGGAAATCGGAAATTAAATGCAACGTGGTAAAAAGCATTGTGCGTACAAATAAGTATCAAATAAACGTTGAAATTGATAGATTTAAGTAGTTTTAGAATGACGATATAATTGCACCAGTAAATGAAAGCATATCAGCCAACACGCATGACGAAGAATAATGTGACTAAAAAGAAACATGTGTCGTAATGAATTTATTATTTAATTGCCAACGTGATATGACTGTTATTTGCGTTTGAAGCCTTCAAAAATCAGTTCATTTCTAGTAAATTGCTCTTGCGATTAATGGCCGTCGATAGATATGACGTAATTAAGCTTCAATACCAATAAATAGGTTATTGAAATGGGTGACAAGAATTAACCTTAATTTCTTATTCATTAACTTTATATTGTACTTGTGGGTACTCAGTACAAATAATACTTCTTAACTCGTCGAGTACCGTCATTATAGACACAATTATAGAACAATAGGTTGCGGTCACCGGTGACCGCTTGGTGTTTGACAGTTTAATAGCCTAATTAATCCAATCTAATGGAGAAATTGTGCGCCCAGCTTTTTAAGTAGTTTTATTTAATTGTTAACTGCATTGTATCGTGTAATGTAACGTTACAGATCTGAATATTACGTCAGTGAAGGAAGAGAACCGAGCATTAAGGTGGGTACAGATTGGTGCAATGTATCATGTAATGTAACAGGATTCCCATAGTGTGGACGCATCACGCGCACGAGCGCCTGGGTCGCGCACGCACGCTCCGAGCGTTACAACTCATGCGCGGCTCGATCCGAGATTTGTTGGTTTTTAGTACGAGCACAAAGGGGCGCTCAGTGTGCGCAGGACTCAGCCGTGGACGGTCGTTCGTTTCGTTCGCATGCGCAACGATCATGGCGGTGAGAGAGGGTGCGTGGAGTGATGACGAGTCACTTTTATTGATAGAAGAATACAGAACAAGGGAAGTTTTATGGAACCCTCAAAATGAAAAATTTTATGAATGATTAACAATGAAGCACTGATAATCGTCCGAGCAAGAAGGCTGTCTTTAGATTCCATGATTCGTGTATATCGACGTGGGCAAAGAAAAGAACACGTGTGACGAGGGCTAGTGTTTATAACGAAATGCGGGAACAGATGTTCTCGAATGATTCGTAGTCAATGCGCGTACCGCGCGCGCCACACGTCCAAGGCAGCAGGGAACATGCAATGTAAGGCAGAATATTACATTACATGTTGCATTGCACCAATCTGTACCCACCTTTACAATGTGCACCTTGTAATTATGCAAAGTGTAATTAACTCGTCGAGTACCGGTTTTGTAGACACAATTATAGAACAATAGGTTGCGGTCACCGGTGACCGCTTGGTGTTTGACAGTTTAATATCTTGATACAACTTGTAACATCAACGCTAGATCTAGGTCTTCGTCGATATATATTTATGTATGTATTTATACCTATATATTTTATGCATATGACTATATATACTATTTACTATTATATACTATATCTATGTATAACTATATTATTTAATAATAACCATTATTTTTCCTCTCTCTCTCTCTCTCTCTCTCTCTCTCTCTCTCTCTCTCTTTGTTGTTAGTTTATTCTCCGTACCTCAGTTTTCGCAGATTTTCTACTTAAATCCTAAGGTTGACTGGTAGAGAATGCCATATGGCATTAAGTTCGCCTTATGTACCATAAACAAATTATGTAAATTAAAGAATAAATAAATAAATAAACATCAATACGCTCTTCCTTCTCCCAGCCCTGACATCTTGCTATGAAATGCTCAAAGTTGAATCAATATGTTACATTACATGTGTATGCTCCCGGTGAGGGAGCACCTTTAGAAAAATTGAAAATATTCGAATAATTGCAGTTGCTACTTGTTCAAAATAACAGTGAATTCGAGTGCAAAACCTCAAACGTAGTCAAGTAAAAAATAACCACAGAAGCCACGCTACCGCAGATACAGTAGAATGCGCTTCTAACTAATCCTAGTAAGCCATGTATACTCCGTGGCCGCACACGTCTACAGATTGGAAGGCTTACTGTTTATGAACTAACAATATTGTCTTTGTGTTCTTTTTAATAGAATAGGGCTTCAAATTAGCAGACGAATCAACTTATCGTGAGTAATCAGCGCCGCTCATGGACACCCGTAACACCAGAGGAGTTACAAGTGCGTTGACGACCTTTTGGGGGTCAGGGATTTGAAGATTTGGGGATCGAAGGAGGAAGGTTTAGCCTCCAACTAAACTTTCTCTTTGAGGGAATTTATTATTTTTGCATGAAGCATTCTTTCTTCATGCACCTAAAATTTGCACATGTAGAGGTAGTTGTAATGTAATACCAGTACTTTTTAGTGTAAAAGTTCATGCCAGAAAACAATTACTGTAGTTACTTATAAATGAAATAAAGTGAGGATTTTTTAGGTTTCCATACAAAGAAACGGTTCCTAGATAGCCGGAATCTGGAAGTCGGCGATGTAATACTTCTATGCTTCGAAGAGCACGCAAACTCAGTTGTCATACAAAGATATATGGCAGCAATTAACAGATAATGCGGCAGCGTGTTTTTGTTTAACTTTTTAAAGCACACTAAACTATTACATTGAGTACAGTTACTAATTTACAGTGTGATAGCGAAGTAGGTTCACTTCACTAATAGGTATGCGCAGACTATTCTACTTGCAAAAACAAATAAAAAAAGTGATTATATTGTTCTGAATTCCAAATGAGAAAGCAAACACTATCGTAGTCATTATATTATGCATACTACGGCCGCGCAGCCATTTTAATTTCAATTCACGCATGAAACAGTGAAGTTACAGAATTAAAGAGCTAGTTATTGTTTGATTCATTTATTAATTGAACAATAAATACTTAAAAATTAATATCAATCGTCTAACTTTCACAAAATCTCACAGTTTTCGCGAGAGCCAGACGATATTGCATAACATTTCGATAAAATTACTTTTGTGAGATGTAAAGTAATTACGATTCCTATAAAATAAATTCTTAGCGAATACATAAATGCATATTAGTTGAACTGAATGCTCAGTCGTTGAGGTAGCCGTAGCGTTTACTCGATTGGTGGGTTTCGAAAGTAAGTCACCAAAATATGTGTCTAGTTATCGTGTATTTTCCATGGAATAAGAGGAGATGGAGGAATATGCCTTTGTACGACCCTCGAGTGGGGTCACTCAACTATGGCATTTGTGTGTTGCATACTGTAGCTAACGACATCGAGACCTTTATTTTTATCTTAACTGCAAACTCCATCCTTTTTATTACACGGTTTGTTGTGACATTTCGTACAGGTAGGTATTTAAAAAGCGTTTTTAGTCAGATATGGGAGCGTCGTTGTCAGATCTCGCCCAGGGTGAGAGTAGGGGGCCAGGTGCAGGCCAGGGAGCGGGGACGGCTGGAGCTGGCAGGAGTTCAGCTCGAGGGTGTAAGTGCACTAGAGGTGATGGTGACGCGGCTGTTAGGAACAATCTGGATACAGCCTGGAAAAAATAACATTTTTTTTTTATTTAAAGCACCTTTTAATTCAATCAATTATGTGCTCATTATTCGACATTCTAAACAATAAACTAAAATTAAAATAAGCTACTCATAATTCTTACAAAATATTTCTGTTTTTCGTTCTTACGTTGATTGACAAGGAGATTATCAGAGTCTAAAACAATGAGAGATTTCTAAAGCTACACTTAATTTTAACGAGAAAATAATAAAGCAATTTTTTACTCTTCCTTTGAGAATAATTTGAAATCCCTTTTTAAGAAAGGATTTAGGATCCTTTCTTAAAAAGGATTTAGATCAAGAATGAAGATTTAACCATGACCTTAATTTCTCATAGGTCAGTGCAGCATGTTATGAGATTGAATTTAACAGAGCTATAGACTGGTGTCACTGTTTCCTAGCTAAGCTACTAGGTGATCTGCTGACCTACTAGCACACAAGATGGGGTGAATATAAATAAAACCGCCTCTGTGTACTGATCTAAGCTGGTATATGTTCTATATATTTGACATTAGATTGTATTAGATATTTTGGTCTTACAAATCAATTTTACCTTATAGTTTCATTGGTAACGAAACCATAGCTCGATTTTAATTGCGACAACGCCATCTATCGAACTATGAGACAACTTTTGAACAATAATATGTTTTGACTTCAACAATAAGTTTGGTCTTGAACAATCACATTAGATAATTATGGAAAAAACAAGTGATGTAACAAAATTAGTTTTTTCTCGCTCGCTCGAATTTAGGATTCTCAAGTATCAAGTTTAGTGTTTGTTAGTCAATCAGGAACCATTAATGGCATAGTTATTATGTTTTTAAGTTAACGCTAAGCATAATCTTCAAGGTCTTCGTATCCAACTCCTGATAACTTCATAGAAGATGTCAACTAAAGATTAATAAACATTTATTATCAATTTCCTTACCTGACTGACAGCCACGATAAGTAACATGACTCCGATGGCTAAGTTCTTCACTGAGATGACAGCAAGAGCCATCAGGAGAGTGGAGATCACACCCAGGGTGAACATGACAGGAAGGAAGATGAACGAGAGCCGTTTGAGGGCATTGTGACCAAACGTACGGCCGACGCTTAAGTCTGAAAAAAAAAACAATTAGAAGTCTATCATCTGCTTACAATAGTAATGACTGTCACAAATATGTATGTATAAAATATTTGTTTGCCTGACTATGTAGGTTACATAGTCAAGTTCAATCTTTTTATTATTAGACCTACTGAACTGAATATTACTGAAGGATTTAGAACTGAGTATTCATTAGTTCTTATCGTTCCGAAATCTTGTAGACCACCATATTGCAGAAATTTTACACATTTACTATATGCATGGGCGACCTAATGAATCTTCAGGCAATCTTCCATTAGCTCCGAAAAGGAAACTTATGGAAGTATGTATTCTATCTGTCCATCCTCACCTTTGGCGCTCAAACCTGATCTTTGACAAAACATCAAAAGTCAACACTCAGGGTTAGCCAGCGAGTCATGCAGGGCAGTAGGTATCTTAGGAGTTCGATTATCAGACTGAATAAGAAACTCCATACTGCGCTCCAAAACTCAAATCACTGACGTTGGTCATAAAGCCGCAGGATTAAGTGGAACTGGGCTGGTCATGTCTGCCGCATGTGGTAGGTCCAGAAGGAGATAGCGGTATGAACTTGAAGCCCATGACATGAAAAGGATTGGCCACAGAAAGTTATAAGAAGAGATACTCATCTCTTCTACTCAGAAAGAGGGTAGGGTAGCCTATGCCCTGCAGTGGGACGACCATGGCTAAAAATAAAGTATTTAAATAATAAATAAATGTGCAAATACCTAAGGCAGTCCTTAGATACTTACATCTCAGGAAAAATACTTGAATTATTTTATTTTAGTTCCTAACTCGTCGAGTACCGTCATTATAGACACAATTATAGAACAATAAGTTGCGGTCACCGGTGACCGCATGGTGTTCGACAGTCTAAAGCCTATATGTATAAAAATACAATACGAAAAGGTTACCAAAGCAAATTGCAATCGCAGTGATTTGTTATTAAAATCAATAAGGGTGATTTTTCTGTACCATATTTTGCTTACCTGTGTCGCATTTAATAATTAAAGTGAGATGAGCGTATGAATGCTAAGATAACTAAACACGAGCTTCATACCCAGTGGTCTTTAATCCGTTTTAGCATATTTCGTATGAAATATCGTTTAAAATCCTATTTAGATTAGTGATAATCCAGTTAAAATAATCCTCAAGGAGGCTCGGCATGGTGTGGTTTCTTTGATAGACTAATTGATGATTGATTTGATAGATAAGTCAATTTTGGGTAATATTCCTAAGCAATAACTTGATTCGTATTTTGTCCACAGAATTTCAACTTTAGTTCCAACTGAAGTAGACAAATGATGTGAAGATAGTTTAAAATCTAGAGAAAGATATGAGAAATTTTTTGTCCGAAAAGTCATCCTCCCATCCATCCAAATTGGTATTGGTAATTAAATAGTTTTAAATAGTCTTAACGATTTTGTAAAAGTTATCAAGTCATGTTTTGATAATTTGAACACGGTAATAACGATCTAAAATAAATTGTAGGCAGGTACTAAAAATTTTTTTTGGATTCGAAAGCCATTCAAGAGAAAACCATTCTCATTATTATTGTATAATTATATACTATTTGAAGTTATTGTAGTTAGGAACAGAGGTCGGTCAATTCAATCACGGAGAAAAGCTTTTGAATTAATCTAAGTACATGAATTAAGATTCGTACACAATGGAATCTTGAACAATTCATAAGTCCTAAAAACACGTCAAATTCATTTTCGAACAATTTATGTCTTCCTAATCACTACATAGTATAAAACACAGTCGCTACCCAACGTTTGTCTGTCCTTGTATGCTTAGATATTTAAAACTATGCCACGGATTTTGATGCGGTTTTTTTTAATACATGAGTGATTCTTAACTCGTCGAGTACCGGTTTTGTAGACACAATTATAGAACAATAGGTTGCGATCACCGGTGACCGCTTGGTGTTTGACAGTTTAAGGAAGCCGGCTAGCGACCCGCCCCGGCGGGCGGGTCGCTAGTATTCTTATATTTCATGTTTATCGCATTTGCCTACAGGCATTACAATACCTATTTAATGTTATATCTAATCTAATGCTATCTGAAGATCGAATATTCAGTGCCTAGGTAAGTATTGTTAGGTTACTAGATAATTCGGTCTAATTAATAGATTTCATCAATTACCACCTTTATTAACTACTGTTTCCGGCAACCTATGTTTGTTAGTGGGGGGATGTGACTTCAACAGTTTTCATGTAGGGCACTTGTAGTATTAAACATTCCAATTACCTTGACTAAAGAAATCCTTGTTCTCCGTACTATCACACTGCACTACCGAGACGAAAACGATGACGTATGTCAAGGACAAAAGGGTGAGTTTGTTGCACATTTTGACTGGCACTTTTTAATTTTAATTTCGACGGAGCAATTACAATTCGCTGGTGATCTCCAGACGCCTGCTGGAGTATGACTGATTGACTGGCGTTTGTTACCCAGGATATAAAGTGTCCTATGGAAGACAATGGCCGGCGAGACCAAAGAATCACGACAAAAGAAAGCGCAGGACAACGTGACTGCACGGTAGAAATGTCGCCCCCGATATCGACGCCTGCGCCGCTTAAGGACTAATGTTAATTCATTAACGGTGTGTATGCTCCCGTTGGACATTGTTGCGATCGTTATCACAGAAAATGAAAGGTGAAAGTGATGTAGACTTCCTTCTCATCTGTTTGTATAGAATTTCTATTTCAGTTACACGAAGCGGTGTAGCGAATTTGCTTTAAGTAAAGAAAGGTAGTTATTTTATGAGTTCTAATATTTTGTAGTTTACTATTTTATGCACGGGTATTACAATTGCTTTTTGTTGATCAAGATTAATTAAAAGATATTATATACATAAATTAAAATTATCATGAGCATCAATGTACATATTTGCAGTAAGCTAGGAAAGAAAATGTCTCATAAATTGGGTATAATATTGCATCCTGCTAGTTTTGCTTTCATTTAATTGCAAGTCATGTAAGAGTGATTAAAGAAATAATGATTTGCGTGTTTGAGGAATAATTAGTGGATATTAATCAGGAATTTTGTCACGTGCCGTGTAGAGAAACTCGATCGTGGGGCGGTGGCGCGCGACAATGCGCCGGCGCAGTCGTTCGGCCGCGTCCGTGACCGTATGCTAATCACACACTATGTTCGGCAATATAGGCCACTTCCTGTCAACATTGAATACCGAAAAAATCGAAACTCGAATCACCTAGATTTTTGAATGAAAATTAGTGCTTTCACACGCATCTGATTGCTTGTTCAAGCAAATCATTGTTTTTTAATTTGTTATTCGTAACGCGATTTCGTTAATGTATTCCTGTCTCGGAGTTCGTCGGTGGTCTTTATTTGTAAAAAAGTATTCAAGATGTTTATCACTCTAGTGAATCAAATTGTTAATTATGCTAAATTATGTATGTATTTTGGTAAATTATATTTTGACAAATTAAACTTACTTAGTACATATCAACAAAAATATTATTATTTATATTTCCAAAATAGAGTTAGTTTTGTCATTAATCTCTTGGGAAATGTCAGCGAGGTTTTGCCTCTGGGGCATAAGTATCTACATACTTACAAAATAAAATTAAATCCATTAACGTTTACCATCTCACAATTTCCCTTTCTCCTTCCGTTCTCCTTTATCTAAAAATGGGAGACTCTTCAGAGAGAACATGTCTTAAACACCTCCTTTTTCTATTATCTTCATCTTATAATCTGTCTTTTCATATTATAGTCTACAGAAAATAGTCCTGTAGACTGTAGAATTTTTTTTACATTTCATTACTCGTTTACGACCCATTTCAATAAAATAATCGTTTTTCGGCAGATTGCTTAGTCTAAGTAGGTATATACATAGATTAGCTTACTGGAGAGCCATGTTACGTTTGAACATCTATGATTATACTAGATAGTAGATACCTACTTACAATTGTCTGCTAAACAAATGATAGTAATCGTGTACTATTGTGTATTTTAAGTATAGCATGGGAATTAAACTGCTGTCACTATTGATACTGATATTGTGAAATGTGAGTCTGTCTGTTTGATTTTTATAATTTCTCAACTGATATAATTGCAAGAAATTTGCTGTTCTAACGTCATCGGTCATTCGTTAGATTTGCCATAATACGCTTTTAAGGATGACCATTACCCCATATAAAAAAATAGTGGATACTTATACATCCACTATTATCCAGACTCATCGGGAAACGCCGACATATCGTGATTTAGCGCCGCATGTTGACCGCAGACGACGTCATAGGCTCTTGCCTAGTCGTAAGAAACCTATACAAGCTATTGTAAATTCCCTTGTGACACAATACCTATCTACATAACTGCTTAGGGTACAAGATCATGAGAAAGAAAATCGAAACCACAATGAATTCTCACAATGCAAAAGCGCGTCACCTTTCTTGATACACTAATGGTTAAAAACGTTGAGTGACTGTTAAACGGTATAAAAAACTGCATAACTAGTCATACACAATAGACGCATAACGACTGTCGTGCTTTACAATCGTCAATTACAAAAAAGACTCGATTAAATAACGTCAAATGATTACAAAACCAGTTAACAGTATCACGTTATTTATAACACACTGAAACATTGATTGAGTTGTTATAGGTAAGTTAAATCAGTGTTTTTAGTTGGATTTTCGGGTCCTGTCAATTTAAATATCTATTCAATTATTTAGTCTAGACTAGATTGGTCAATAAAATAGTATCTATAATTATTTGGCTCGCTTTATGTACAATATTGCGTTGCTATGGAATCTGAATTGACCGCAAATTTTTTCGAGGATGGCCTACTGTAAATTTCCTGTAATATGTACTATGCCTGTAATGTGCTCTGATGTTTATATTAAAACTTTCATGAGACATACCAACTAAATTAACAGCGCATCGCGACAATCGCCGCGTCTCGTGTCGTGGAATGCTACTCATAAATATGAGCCTCTAACATGGCTTGAAACTAGTCGAGTTCCTCGTAAAAAAGTGACGTGAGCAAGCTGAAAACATAATAATTAAAATCTCTGGTTATATCTGCGAGAATGACAAGTTATTATGTTTAGTTTATATAAGTCTTACAATATCTATTATCATTCACATAAAATTATATCCACACATAAACATCACTTACGTATGACATGCAAAGATTTTATTGATCGATTTTTAGTCGTCTGATATCGATTATGCTGAGCTAATGTCTAGACGTAGCTTTATTATCAAAACTTTCCATTGCATTTGAGTATTACATAAAAAATAGAGTATTTTATTGCCAATGACGGGTAGCTTTCATTTGTCAGTCGTACAAAGGCATATAGCGTGCATATGCAGTCAATTTTAAATACGATTTATATGCACATCCTCATTACGAAGTTTTTTTTATATATATTTATGTTTTTTAATCACGCGAGTTTTATGTATGTGTTGCATGAATTAGGAAAATACTAGAATTTGTACGTACACTGGTATACTAGAGGTCTTGTTAGAATGAAATTGTGGGCGGTGTTTGAAAACTCACTTTGTTTACCGACAACGCGACAGACTACTCTAATTAATTAACACTTTCATAGTTAGGTGCTGATTTTAATTAAATAAATACATAAAACTCATACAAATTCAAAGATAGCAGTTGTTATTCTGAAACTTCTGTCGACCATTCCACTAGGTAATGAGGCAATTCTTCCACTAATCAACATTATATTAATTAATTATTTTGTTAGTATTAACATATTATTCATTAATTTAAAACTGACATACTTAACTATCATACACTACTAACATTAAACCAACGTAACCCCAAATACAATAAGGATTGACCACTTTCGGTTGTCGCATATTGGAAGCGATAATTAATACAACGATTAGGTCCCGGATCCGAGCAAAGTATAACGGAAGCTTAAACCTATCGATTAACTGTTACTTTTACGACTTATAAAATTTACGATGCTATACATAGCGTGATGTATTATAAAATAGAGAAAAATAACGTATTAATGTAACAAAAGAACAAGCTACACGAATATCACGTGTCACGTATTAAACTGCTCGCTAAGCGGTCACCAGTCATCGCTTCTTCTTCTTACTCCATTATAGACCTTATCCCCATGTTTAGAGACTACTTTTGTATGAACAAATGTTGTGAATTTTTCATAATCGAAGTTTAACTCGTCGAATACCGTTATTATAGACACAATTAACTCGTCGAGTACCGGTTTTGTAGACACAATTATAGAACAATAGGTTGCGGTCACCGGTGACCGCGCGGTGTTTGACAGTTTAAGAAGCAGTGTCCTGTGCACGCATATTCTTAAAAAGTACAATAATATTCACAGACAAGAGAAATACTGGTAATCTTATATTGTATATACCGAAGATTCAACTAGTAAAATATGCTGAAAGTTGGAGAAAGGTCTCAACACTGAGCAGATGGTTTAGAGATTGCTGTTGTCACCAATTTTTAATTGATTCTACTTCTTCGTCTTTAGCTCTTCGTCTGCTCGTGATCAAAGATTCGGTTACATTCCTGAACTTTGTTAAACCTAGAACGTTAGTTTGTTTAACATAGTTTATGTATATATGTAGCGTAGGTGTTTACCTTAAAGTTAATAAAGGTATACTTACAATGGTTAAATGAATGCCGAAAGTATTTTCTGTTTCGAAGTTTGTAACCATGTTGGTAACGCATCAATAATCACATAATCACAACTATTTTAGTTTAGAAAAAACTTTACATTGCTTTATAATAAACTAGCGACCCGCCCCGGCTTCGCACGGGTGCAATATGCATGTATTATACATATAAACCTTCCTTAAGAATCACTCTATCTATTAAAAAAAACCGCATCAAAATCCGTTGCGTAGTTTTAAAGATCTAAGCATACATACGGACATACAGCGAAAGCGACTTTGTTTTATACTATGTATAATTTATTTATATTTTTTTTATTTTTTTATATAATTTATACTATGTATAATATAATATAATAAATTACCAATCGTTCTGTAGAAAGTTGTATAATATTTTATTAGAAATTATTACATTATAATAGTTATCTTACTTGAGAGTTTACTTTCTTGGGAAAACGGTTTAGCAGACCTACATAGTCATCATGTGAAAACTTGTGTGTTGGTATATGAATTTAATGTCTTTAAAAGTATGAATGATTCATTATCGTGACATGAATATGAATTAAAATTAGATATAGGTATCTACTTCGCGAGGGGTGCCATTGAAAAGTGAGAAAGTTATACCCAATCTACTGCGAAAGTGACATTAACTTACTATAGCAATGTTACGAAACTTGAAATGAACCTGTCGCGGTGAAAGATCGGGTTGATTGATTAGTCTTTGATGAAGAAAATGCTTTAAGACTTATTTGTGGTACAGTTAACCTAAAGTGTCTAAGTTACTAAAAATTTAAGCATTTTATATTTTTTATTTCCTAAAAGTATCTTCATATAAATCCTATAATTTTAATCCGTAATTTCACATTTTTCTATCAAATCGGAAGTGGCTCCTGTCAATCTCACCCCAGTCAAGGAATAATAATCCTACGAAGACTCTTTTTTCATACACGGCCAAACAACGCTTTCGCCGGTGGCGATGCACTTAGCATTTGGAGCGAGTAGTGGATAGTGAGGGAACCTGCTTTGGCGTCAGTTGAACCGCAGCAATGCGACCGCTCACCGCACTGTTGATAGTGGCCGCGTGCCAGTGTGTCTACTCACACCAACACTCGCGAACGTCGCGCCAACTTTTGCAAACCACATTACACTCGCTCCTTGGACAACATTACCACCCCATACAACGTATATTCTCTTGTAGTCATGAGTTAGGACCCACAAAATGTCTAAGTGCTCTAAGTGTGTGGCGAGCAGAACGCGCCATCAAAGCGTTCGCCCAGAATCCCGGCAAACAGTTCAACCTGACTGAAGATGTGGAGCAATTCCCATGGAAGAAGTTCAGTAATGTATCTGACGAACAGCTATACACACAACTTTATGATGATACCACAAAATTGCTGCAATATCGGTCCCTGGGTTTCGACATGATACCCGGATACAATGTAAAACTAGGATCCAAAGAAAATGGAACGATGCGTGTCGACATTTATACAAGTAAGTACATTCGTTATTTATTAGTTCTGGTGCAGTCACGCATCTGTGAACATAATGTTATTGTTTACACTAAAACACATTCGTCACTTTTTCTAAACTGTATACGGAACAAAATTGATTAACAATTATAAGCAAATATGTGTTTACATTATCATTTGCATTTAATGGTTTGCTGTAATTAATGTACTTTAGTTTAATGTCAAGCTGGTATATCAGTGAAAGTGAACAATTTCGTAATACGAAATGAAAAAAAAATTTCACTTATGGAAGAATTTAAATCTACTTTCAGGTGACACTGCCGAAACTGGTCGAAGCAGCACGAAGAAATTGCAGAAAATGTTTCATAAATACGCGCCATTTCTTCTAGTGCCTGGTCTAGTGGTATCAGCAATAATCCCGTTTATATTGCCGGGTCTAAAGATGATGACTTTGATGGTCGGAATGATGAACTCAATGGCACTGATGGGAGCAACATTTACAATACTTAGGAACAACGCCTTTAACGATAAGTACCAACATAAAGTTATTTATGTGAACAGTGGATATGAAAATGAAAAGCATTTTGCAGCGACGAACAATGAGGAGCATATCCATACGGATCATTATGGAATGGTCTACGATGAAACGAAGAACCATCCACAGCAAGCTAGTAATGCATTAGGTGTAGAATTTGATAATATGGAATCTTTGCCACCGTTTGCTTTAAATCCCGATTGGCTGAAAGCGTATAGCGATGGTAAAATAGTCGCTTTAATGGGTCAAGACCAACATATTGAGAAAAAACATTAATATTGATGAAAATAATTTTTATTTAGACTTGCCAGGTTGAAAGCGAACCCGACGAATTTCAATGCTTTAATACTTTGTAAGTTTTATACGTATTTGCCCTTAAAGGTAAAGGTTAGTCTTTTCCATCTATAATAATGAATAATTTACAACTCGAAAAAGGGAACATGGATTTGGATTTTGTAATACTTATAATACGTTTATTGTTTGTTTATGTTGTAATGTTATTTATAGCAAAGTTAATATTCTTTTATGGATTTAGTTGCCTTTAGTATATTTATAAGATTATACCTCTAGTATTAGTAATTTATTGACATTGATGTAGTATCTAAGGTTAAGTTTTAAACTTACTAAGAGAAGGTTTAAACGTGCAAAGCAGTTTTTTGCGTGTTTTTTACTCTTTCCAACATGATTGTAATTTAAATATATGACCTTACTTCATACCATTTTTTGGTATTATCTGCCGAGATTGCATCCTATTCAGTATTTTGTGTTGTTTTTGCTAATTAATATAGGTACTTACCTACTTCTAGTCTGTTCTATTGGTTGTTTAATAAATATTGTACATTGGTTTATAAATAATGTTATTGTTTTTTATTTAGAACTAGCTACTTCTGCGCGGTTTTACACGTTCTGCCCAGCTCCTATTGGTCGTAGCGTGATGTTTTATAGCCTGTAGCCATCTTCAATAAATGCGCTATCCAACACAAAAAGATTTATTCTAATCAGACTTGTGGTTACGGAGATTAGCGCGTTCAAACAAACAAACAAAGAAACAAACTCTTCCGCTTTATATAAGTAATAGTATAAGAGTATAAGATTACTTCTGCTAGCGGTTTTGACCGCGTGTTTCCGTTTTCGGGATACGAAATAGCCTACTTACTAAAGATCTTAAGTTCTGTCTTTCATCAGATCCGTTTATTAGTTTTTGAGTCACCAACATACACTCATCCTTACAATCTTTCGCATTTATAATTAAATAGATCGGACTAACTTACCTGTGACGTCCGATCCTCAATTGTGTAGGTAGCGTCATCCTCGCTAATTATACTAGTAGTAGGCACTAATCTGGGCACGCTGTCACAATATTTAAAGATGAACACATTCATAAAAAAAAATATTTATACTCTATGGTCATCTCACTGGCAACATCATTGTACTTCTTTGTGCACGACCTGTCACGTCGTACCCTGGAAAATTTTTCAATTTAATTTGGTGATTTTCCTACTAAATGGGTCGAAAACGTCGCAAGCAGATAGGAAAACTGATGGAGTGTATGCAGGAATTGGATAATTGGGCGAAACCGGCGAGAGGACGCATTCGTTGTCGTCAGTTTGGTAAGTTTTTTCTTGTAGGTACTTACACCACATTGTGGGGCGTTTTCCAATAGCTTCCACAAGCGGATAGCCTTGAGAATGATTGTGTACGCAACATACACACTTGAAACGTACCATAAGAGCCCTCAGGAGAGGTGAGCCATTGGTTATACGTTTTCTATATACCTAGATTAAACCACAAGAGCCTTCACGAGAGGTCGGCCGTTGGTTACACGTTTACTATAGATCGAAACCACAAGAGCCTTCACGAGAGGTTGGCCGTTGGTTACATGTTTACTATAGATCGAACCACAAGAGCCTTCACGAGAGGTTGGCCGTTGGTTACATGTTTACTGTAGATCGAACCACAAGAGCCTTCACGAGAGGTTGGCCGTTGGTAACTCTACTATAGAATTAACCACAAGAGCTTTCACGAGAGGTTAGCCATTGGTTTACTTGACTTTGGAACGAACCACAAGAGCTTTCACGAGAGGTCAGCCGTTGGTTACTTGACTTTGAAGCAAACCACAAGAGCTTTCACGAGAGGTTAGCCACGGGTTTAAGTCACATTTAGTCAAACATTTCCAACTGCAATCCTAGAGCTTTCACGAGAGGTTAGCCGTGGATCATTTAAACTACCTTGCAGTTAGAAACTTAAAATCAGTTCGCTTTGCCTCAGAAGAACATGAAGCCATTCCAGTTGAAGCCGCTCACCATGGCATGGCACCGAAGCCAATCAACATGAGTTGGAAACTACTCCTATAGTCTCGCTCCAGTCAGTAAATATACTCCGGAGCAATTGCTACCTATGCTTATGGGAAATGGGACATTTCCTTAGCCAGCTATTCCATAGTGTTGCATGTTGGACAAAGCCATTCTTATCAAATGATTACACTTATTTTCCCTTTTCATAATTATTATAACCTAATTCCTCCCAATGTCTCAAATAAATGAGGAGGGGAGGAGGTGCCACTAAATAAAGATGGGATTGAGTGAGACGATAGGATTGTGAATATCAAATGACTCTAGGAGCAGTTACTGTTCGCAAATTAATTAACAAACCTATTAAAGATTTTAAGGATACAGCCAGACTGCTCTGTAAATTATTAACATGTGCCCCTGAATGAAGATCAGAACACAAATAGGTGTTCTAGCTATATATACAGTAATAAATAGTGCTTCAAGACAAGTTTATTGCAAGTAAAGCTATCAGAGAGTCTAAACTTGAATTGGAGAACATCCAAGAAAACCTTTTAGACTACCAACTTCATGCCAACCACATCAACAAACACTGTGTGATGTACAAACAATATGTGTGTGTGTGTGTGTGTGTGTGTGAGCAAAAACCAAAACTAAAGCGAACACATGATTACAAGAAAATCAACAAGGCCGATGCATCCTCTACAGAATTTCTAATTCTACCCACAGCACTGAGGTCCGGATCATCGCTAGTACAGGTAGATCACATTACCTTTCTGAACAATAGAGTTCTGCTTTAGGTTTCCCAACCATACTTAGTTGGATTAATAGGTATAAATTACCATCACTGATATTCCTGTTCAGACAAATATACCACAAAATACCCACATAGGTGTAAAAGCAAAATAATTTTACTTCTGAAGGAAAATTGTTAAAGCTAAGGTGCTGTACTGTACCATATATGTAGATAACTGACTAAGTGATTACTTGCCAGTTTATCTTCACATTCCAGAACAAATGGTCCTTCAGGCAATTAAATAATTAAGGACTATAATAAATTATGTTACTATTAATATAAACAATGGATCTAGAACCATTTCTAAAACTCCTCATATGTTGAAGTGTCTTCAGATGCATGATCAACTTAAGAATGCATTTTATTTAATATCAGTGAAGGAAAATGGTGAATGACAAACATTTGCGGTTCTTATTTGTCTTCCCAAAGAGTAACCTTATACATTGTATAGTATTGATTACACGAAATTATGTTGATGATATTCCTTAATTTTGCAGAACATAAGAAATGTCTAGACTATATTACTAATACAGAACCTTACAGAAGTATTCTTGTAAACTTGGTATAGTATTAAATATTATTTATACTGAAAAGGGTGATTCTTTCAGTATATAGGATTAATTTCTTACTCTAGACAACTCTATATAAGTGCCACTTAAAAAGGTGGATTTTATTACAAGTATAATGAAAATTGTATGACCTAAACAAAAAGTTGCAGATTTTTGATTCCGTTCAACTTTAAAGTTAACATTGTTTGCTCGCCCAGCTATGGAATTTGGCTGGCTCCATGTTAAAATTAGGTTAATAATTGAAATTGTAAGGCCAATATAATAACTATTAAGCGAATACGCACAACAAAATATTCACTGTAAACAATATTTACGTTTGTTTGACATGTTGACATTAAAACATCAGATGTCAAATACGTTCTGTTTTACCAAAAAGAACTTGAACACTTGTTATTTAAGTTAATCTAGAATAAATGTTTACACCTTAAAAGAAAATAAGGCCGGTAAAGAAATACCTAAATAAACTCAGATGTCCCATTCGCACGAGTTTAAATCAAAGTTTGCCTCCAAAACCACTTGGTGTATCACGCCAAAGATCTATAGGCAAACAAGTATAAGAGACTGAAATATATGTATCATGGGTTCCTGACCCTGATATCTTTACTGTTGTTTTCACTATTCAGTAAGTGCAGGAAGATTCTTTTTCCATGCCCTCCTTCTTTTCGGAATTTTAAAAGTCATAAAGAGAAAAAGGGGGGGGGGGTATATGCAAAGGTTATTAGGATCCATTATTGATACCCACGGTTCAACTCAAGTTTCTGAACCTCATTAAGTTCTAGTGTTATCTCTGGTTGTTTCCTTCCAGAAGTTCACCCACTTTACACAACATATACAATGTAGTCACCACCATATAATCAGGAATGAATTCCTAAGAAAAGGAATAGGTACTGCATTCTATGGGAATAATGCTAGCATCACATTGTAAAGTAAAACAAAACAGCAATACGACTTTGCTTTGACTTTTTCAGCATATGTATCCGTTGTGATTATTATATTTTTACTTCTAAATTTACCTATCATACAGTTTATTGAATACTATTAGATAGGTACTTCATTAGTCCTAGGTCCTCTTGTGTGAAATTATTAAGAAACTACCTACAAGATTTTTTAGAAGTGTATACAAATTAAGGCCAAAAAGAAAAAGAAACTTTAATATGTGGTGTGCGGTTCCAGTTTTATTCTAAAATAGGTACATAATTGTGTATTATTACAATTATTATTTAAAACCCTGAGGGTTACTGGTAGAATATGCCACTTGGAATCAAGTTCACCATGTACCGTAACTTTATTGTATTGTGTACATGACAATCTAAATAAATCAATATTATTATGTACCTGTATGTACTCCAATGATAATCTTAGCTTAAAACTTTAGTTTAAAACATCAATTAATTAGCACATATAATTCACACTATCTCTATCACTATAGATTGTACCTAAATGATAATGCCAATAAACCTGAACCATATTTAATAGTACCTACCTACCTACTATTTTTTATTTTTAAGAACAATTTTTAAATCATTGTTCTGGGATCAATCATATTCTACAATTTCAAGTGAATGTATGTCTAGTACTATAACAGTGGACTCTCAACCTCTTCTAAAGCCTCACAGAGATGTATCAATCAGTATCAAAGTCATATATTTAAGTAAGACGACTGCCTGGTCAGTCAATCCATTTTTCCACCAACAATCCTAATATTGCATGAGCTTATTAGCTCTGTATATCACTATGTATGGAGTCATGATCATAATGTAGATCTACTGAAAATGGAGAAGTTAGATAATATATAAAAAAAAAAAAAAAAAAAAGAAACTGATAATTTTGAAGAAAACAACCTATTGAAAGACGTTAAATTTTCGCAATAGACTGAATTTGAACAACGTTATAGTTCAAAACGTACATAGTAGGTGTACCTATAGTTGGTGTAGTGGACACCAGAATTTCAAGATAATAATATTGTTGCTATGCTTACTAAATAATTAAATTAATAAATAAGGACATTTAATTATTTTTCCATCACAATACATAATGATGTAGATCTTAATATTAATCTTATAATATTGACATAAGCTTGTTTCTTCTCTTCACTTCACTTTGGTTCTACATAGGGTTAATGCAGTTTACCTGACAATACAATGATGAAAGTCAGGAACCCAAACTAAGATAACCCGTGCTTTGGGCTTCTGTTTATTTTTAATACTATTTTTAAAATGTATTTAATTTTATAAGTATTTTTATTTGATAAAAATGATTGAAAACAATACCATAACCATAAGTAGCTATTATATCTAATAATGGTTTAGTGGCTTACATCTTGGGGAAATTATAAACGTAATTTGATTATTGCTTAAGTTTTTACTAGTACTATATAGTACTCGTGAGATATTGATGTTATTGACAATGTCATATATCTTGTTTAAGTGCAACAATGTTCAATGATTAAACAGTGTTGTTTGTCAACACAACTCCTTCTTTGAACGTCTACTAGTATAATTAGCGAGGATGACGCTACCTATACAATTAAATAGATCGGACTAACTTACCTGTGACGTCCGATCCTCAATTGTGTAGGTAGCGTCATCCTCGCTAGGTCCCAACCCTTCCCGGATAATAAACATGTTTATTTTTACCCCTGGTCGAGTTGTGTTGCAGTTGCAGGTGCTTTGAAGTAAATGATGTTGCCAGTGAGATGACCATAGAGTATAAATATTTTTTTTTATGAATGTGTTCATCTTTAAATATTGTGACAGCGTGCCCAGATTAGTGCCTACTACTAGTATAATTAGCGAGGATGACGCTACCTATACAATATTAGTAGATAAAGTTATTTTTGCTCCTCTAATAACAGAACTAGGAATACCTAGTCATAATAATTAATGCTCACAAAATGAATATGGTAGTAAAAATCTCCTATGTCACCAAATAAATAATTGGTTCCCAAATGAAACGTGTGTCCCGATTGTACGTGAGCAATGTACAGATGATCGTATTATTGGCCAATCAGACAAACTATTCATAATGTTATTTTTCGAACTTCCGCCATCTTGGTTCGTTGAATGCCACAATAATGATGTACGAGTGTTCCAATTTAATGTATAGATATTGTTTTCGAAGATAAACATAATACAGTCAGTATAGAAGAATGAAAAAAAATCCTGAAGGCATGCATATATAGAAACTTATTGTAGGTACCTACAATAAGTTTGTACCTACCTTTTTTTAAGGGGTGAAATCATCGAATGACTGCTCCCGCCACGGTGAGGCGGGAGGGAGTATCAGACTCTTACTGACTTAAAACCACCCCGTTCCTTGTCCTGCGCTTCGAGCTGAGCCCCGGTAACCCGTTACCCGTCTGTAGGTACCTAAACTCATTATTCGCCAAAAGTTTTATTAAGTAGGTACCTAATGCACCATAGTTATAAAAGATTGTTGGCAAAAATCTGCTGACAATTATACTGCGACTAACTTGAGAAAAACAATTACCTACCTACAGTTTTTTACAATCCAAAAGTTGTAATTTGAATGAAATGCTTTAATTTTTGCAGATGAACGAGCATCGCTTTCTTTTAAGAATATTATAAGGTTCCCAGAATTTTTATTTTTTTATTTATACTTGTTTTACAAATACAATGGTGGACTTAATCCCTAGTGGCATTCTCTCACAGTCAATAGGGTGATGTAAAGAGACACAGTTTTATGTTAACAGTTTAACATTGTTGTGAGGTCTTTAAAATTATATACTAACTACATAATTATAACAATATTTTGTATATCGTATTTATTTTCCTGACTGTTTTCTAATTGATATTTTTAGCCCATTATGCTGATTCCGACCCCAGATGGCATAACATGACGGATATTAACAAAGCTGACAGTTCCGGATATTCGAAGGTCTTGTCTTACGGTATTATATTATTCTAAAGATCCATTTTAGACCCAAACCGTTGTATACTACAGTCTACTTGCGGGTCCTAACGACTACAAGTCGTTAATGTCCGCAAATATTTTAGGGTCGGTTTGGGGCTTAAATGGATGTTCAGACTAACGTAGTCTGATGGAATCGTTTATATTTCCCAGTAGGTACGTGATCTTTGTGATTGAATGAAGAACTCAAAATGATAATTAATATTCATACCTTTTATTTCCACAAGATAAATAACTAAACTCGAGCACAGGATTTAAGAGGAATACTTACCATTTCAAATATTTAATTAGACGTCGTCCGGGAAACCAATTACGAACAATGAAACAAAGAGAAACGATTCACTATTTATTAAAATATAAAGATTTAATTTACAAAAAATGTTATACTAGTACCTGCACTCGCACACTTACTATGTCATAAAGCATGATCTCTCAGTGTGGCCGATATAAACATTATTCCAAGCAGACCCCAACCGAAGTTACGCTGCTAAATAAATTAAAAACTTACATCAACTTTGTGTCAGGTTTCACTAAGGGCCTTATACATCTACAAATAAGCATCATTTTCGAAAGTTACGGAAAATTTTCTACGCTCCCTTCAAACGTGACGCTACAAAGGCTCTTAGTAAAATTTAAATTTAATAATAAATATCTTTAACAGTCACCATCAGAACAATATCACATACAAATATACGATATATACTACTAACGTAGTATTAGATACATAAGCTGATTCAGTCACTTATGTTATAACTACATCTGTTCTCTTGTGTATTAAGTTCATCTAACTTGGCCCCACACAAGACGATCGACGATCGGATGAATCCAGTTAATCTATTTATTTTATATTCCCTAACAGAATCATTCTGCTGAGTGTTGCATCATCACTTCAGAACAGATCTCTAAAAGTAGGTATATATGAATATTACATCCACAATTTGTTATTTACAACATCGAAATTTATTTTATTCTTCCATCATAATATTAATTAACCAACACACTATATTATCTAAAATAATTGAGCGAATTTTATATCAAAACTAGAGCATGACGGAAACAATGATTTGTACCTAACTTAACTAAGGAGGATTAAGAATATTTTTTACACATAAAATGCTCACAAATACACAAAATACAACAGTCAGTCACCTTTGTAGGGACTTTCATTTCGTATAGAAGAAAAATTAAAACAAATTCCGCAACACGAGGAACCTATTCATTTTTTCTGTGGACGATTTCAGCGAATTGTTTCTCTTCCTCGGTCATATCCGTGTCTTCCCAGCCCCACACTGGGTTCTCAGGATGATAATGTCCATCTTCTTGGCTGTCCTTGGTCCACGGATGAGAACCATCACCCGTCCTGTTTACCCTCTGTCGGATCATTTCGGCTGACACTGTTTTCAAGTCATATGCTAAACCTGTGGACGGAAAATTTTTGAATAAGAAAATTTGCATGCTATTTGATGAAGTGGTAAGACAATAAGGTAAAACAATTATTCTGTTTAAATTTGAAATGTGGTTTCGATGACTTATTTACATCGAAAACACATTTCAAATAATTGTCCCTAGTCGTAGAATTTGACAGTTGGAGAAACGATATTTAATTTAATATGGCACGTGATACGCAATTAGTGCCTACAACACGTCTAGCATTTCATGTGCACATTTCTATGGAAATTATGTGTAAATAAAAAAAGGACATATTTATTTTTTTGTTTTTACTTTATACATCGAATGGTTCTATTACTCCCGTCTCCTACACGTCTCATAATAACTTAAATATTAAGTGTTCTTCGATCCTTACCGTGTTTAGCTGCGAAGTCAATGAGAGCAGTAGATAGGTTTGTGCTATAATTTCCGAGTTCAGCTGCTTTGTAGTCCCAGGGGAAGACGTGGTGATAATTGTGCCAGCCTTCTCCGAACGCACAGATGGCGACCGCCTTATTGTCAGTAGCGCCTATGTTTCTGTAATAGCAACAAGACACGTTAGTGAATATAACTAGTTTTCTTGGAGGAGATTTAAATATCTTCGGGAGTGAAGACACTAAAACATTTTTTTTTAAGATTAGCATGATAGTTAATTGATAATTATTTTTTAAAATTTCGTTAATGGTTATAATAAACGCTATGTTTTAATCTACCTCTAGTTACAATGTCACGTTTTGTTAAAAACGTTTTGTGTCTCAGACAATGCTGAATTGTGTGCAGAAGTATTTTCAAGTATTTTCGATAATAAGATTTAATTAAATACCTTCGTAAGTACCTATCGACTGTTCTACAAATAAATGGTTTTTATTAAGAAAACTGTGAGGCTACAGACTACAACCTATCGTAAAGTAAATATAGGTACGTAAAGCCAAAAAGTAAATTGCAATTTAATTCTTCAACGCAAGGAATCAAAATGTTGACAATAATGAAAATAACCGATTACTGACAATTACTTAAGCGATATCTATATAATAAGTATATTGTTATAGGTTTTCCCAACCGTACTTAACTAAGTGTTACCTATTCATTAATTTCGCGTAGTTCATTAAATTTGTAACTTTCTGTAAGTGAGCGAAATAAATTGACTGAAATATCAGGATGTTGGTAGTTAGTTAATGTGTGTTACATAATGTACGATCACGCGATATCTGGTTCTAAGTAAATTGAACTTTATTGTTTCACATTTACGGTTGAAATATTACCAATATTAACATATTATATATACCAATGTTAACCTTTAAGTGTGGGAGAGCCATGCTTCGGCACGAATGGGCCGGCTCGACCGGAGTGATACCACGGCCTCACGGAAAACCGACGTGAAGCAACGCTTGCGTTGTGTTTCGTCGTGTGAGTGAGGTTACCGGAGGCCCAATTACCCTCCCCTTCCCTAATCTCCCCAATTCCTGAATCGCCAACGATCCTCAAACTCCTAATCCCCAAAAGGCCGGTAACGCACTTGTAACGCCTCTTGTATTCCAGGTGTCCATGGGCGACGCCGATTGCTTAGCATCAGGTGATCCTTCTGCTCGTTTACCGGTTAATCCGATAAAAAAGACTAATCTAACTAAGCTACTGTCGCTTAGGGGTGTTGAAATACTTAGTCATTAAATGTAATTTATTAGGAGAATAATATGTAGGTATCTACTTGAATAATAATCACGTAGTTAGATGAGACTTCCACAGTCCCGGTCGGTACGAATATGTAGATAGGCGAACATACACATCGTATTTTTAGGTATGACCAACAACTAATAACAATAACTAACCAATAATTCGTTTCCTCGACTTAACCGAAGCATAACGGGGTCAAATTATCGTTGGATTTTTTTTTAACTTTCACTGAATGGGTAGTCGTATAACGTAATGACAAGCGGTAAAAAGTGAAATGTTGCTTACTTATCGTAGGGCCTGTTGCCCCAGATGTGGGCTGCTGAGTTAACGAGCCAGGTGAAATGCAAGGCCACGGTGTATCTGGTTATGGAGGCCACATACCAGGAGTACCATGGGTTCTCACCCCAGAAGTAGCATGGGATCCAGGCTGGGATCACGAAGCAAAGGAGTGGCATCAACACCATATATGTTCTGGAAAGTAAATGGTTAATGTATATTATAGTTAATGTTGTTAATGTATAACATAATGATTAGCATATTATAGGTAACATAGCTTAAATAACATAATTATAGTTAATGTTGTTTCAAATAGATTTTGCTATAAGTCTTTCTTCGTTCAAATTAGAATTTTGGAATATCACTACCAACAGATCACACTATTAATTCAGTTTCCTATACCAAGTAATTTTGAATGTGTGTTTTCTGAATGTTAATAAGCATGACAGAAACCAGCCGTTAATTGAGACGATGTGCCTTATCAACTTACCTACTTGATGGAAAAATCATACTAATCTATACAGATAAATAAAATAGGAGTATCTGTGTGTAATATTAAAATAAGTATATACATACGACATCTATTCATACAGAAAAACATTTTTTTACAATTTTTCTGCCTGTTTGTCTATTTGCATTGTCTGGAATGGCTGGACCGATTTTGCAAGACTTTTAACGGCAGATAGCTGATGTAGGTACTAAGACAGGCTACATTTATTTCGGAAAATTGAAACAAAACAAAAGTTATGTTCTAAAATTAATATTAAGCGGGCAACAACTAGTTGTAAATAAAACGGTAAAATCCTGACTATAATTACATACAAAAAGACATTGATTCTTAAACTCTTTGTGTGATCCACAGATTGTTGTTCCGGGTCTGGGTGTCATGTGTATGTGAACTTGTATGTTTATAAACGCCCCTACGATACAGAAGATAATACTAGTGCGGGGCAACGCTTTTCTTAAGAAAGAAAAAACAAAAATAGTGTAAAATTGACGAGATATACTCTCAGGGTCAGCCATTTAAAATTCTAATGGTCATTAATTAAGAAAATTCTAGACTAGTACTTCTAAAGACCTATTATTCACTCCCAAGATGTCTGTAGATGCTATTAAGAAATTTTTTATCATTTGAAATCACGGGGCCTGAAAATGCTAATACAATTTGGAAAAGTAAAAAATTCGCAGTTCTTTCTTGAGCAAATTGGCCACTTATCTTACCTTACCAACCGAAGCCTAATAACAGAATAAGTAGGTAAGGCCAGAGAAGAGGAGGAGGAACAAAGCCACTTCAGAACTTGTTAACAATATACTCAAATCGGTTATTATTAAAACCATAAGGAAAAGTTTCGTTCTTATCATTATTTGTTTTGTTGTGCGCCTCTCATAAATAAATAGGCATACAGAACTCAGTCGTGGAAATTAATGGTATACAGACGACTATAATTTCCCTAAAGACTAAAATAGAAACATACTTTAAGTGTGGGAGAGCCATGCTTCGGCATGAATGGGCCGGCTCGACCGGTGTGATACCACGTCCTCACAGAAAACCGACGTGAAGCAATGCTTGCGTTGTGTTTCGTCGTGTGAGTGAGGTTACCGGAGGCCCAATTACCTTCGCCTTCCCCAATCTGAATCCCTGAATCCCCAACGATCCTCAAACTGCTAATCCCCAAAAAGCCGGTGACGCACTTGTAACTCTGGTGTTCCAGGTGTCCTTGGGCGATGCTAATTGCTTACCATCGAATGATCCGTCTGCTCGTTTACCGGCTTATGCCATAAAAAATACCACGAACTAACTTTTCACTGGCGGCTACACTCCGCTACCAACCCGTAGATCCCGATACAAAAATTATACCAAACGCTTCATTGCGACTTGCAAGAAATACAACGATTGTTTATTTACATGGTTACAGTACGTAATTAAGTTAAGGTTTTCTTAGAATACTTTCTATATTTGATATAACATTGTACGAAACTCGAAAGGAGATAAATATACAATAGAAAGTCGAAACCAAACAACGGTTAATGATATAAGTACTTATAGCTCGGAAAAGGTTTATTAATAATATCTGATTTTAAAACACTTGCTGACAATGAAATTGTTTTAATCAAATCAAATAAGCGAATAATACCTACATCCATTAACAATAGATACACTGCATCTGATGTCTCGTGGTAATTAATGAACAATGAAACAGCCGCACAATGATGAGCTCTCTAATGGTATCTCAGGGACAAAAGGAAAAGTGTGTCATAGTGTTCACAAAGAAATCTTTATAACTTGAACACCTGTAGGATATTGGCTAGAACTGGTTGAACTTAATAATCATATTTTTTAAGGCAAAAGCCTGTAAACGAGCCGACGGATCATCTGATGCCTGCCCATGAAACACGAAGGCGTTACAAGTGCGGTACCGGCCTTTTAGGAATAGGGAATTTGAGGATTGTGGAGGATTCAGGGATTGGGCAGACTGGGAAGGGTGCCTAATTGGGCGTCACACGTCAAAATCACACGACGAAACACAACAGAAACGTTGTTTCACGTCGGTTTTCTATGAGGCCGTGGTATCACTCAAGTCGAACCAGCCAATTCGTGCCGAAGTATGGCTCTCCCACATTTAAAATTATAGATCTTATAGATTTCATTTGATCACAAACTATTCCTAGTTTGTAGCAAAAAGCATAACATAGGTCCTTAATATTAAAATGGTGCACCCTGTTAATCGCATTTTTCATTAGATCAAATTCATAGATGTAATTCACAGAATCGAATTTCGCCTATGGGTGAAATAGGTGTAATATGTATTTCAGTGGTATAACCTATCAGTGGGTGGGTATATTATCTATCAGTAGGTACATATGACTGACAATAGTTATTTGTAGGTTTAACTTTCTACTTTTTATTTGTTTTTATTAAATGCGTAAGTCCAAGCTTTGGCTTAGTTATATTCTAACAGACAAATGACTTATCTCAAAATATAACTTAACAACTAATTAAGTAAACTATTGATTTAGATCTTAGAATATCAAGGTTATACGTAGAAGCACTACTGTTATTGTTATTAGTACTATAGACAAGGAATTTCAATTTATTATTCTTCTTAAACTTATCTTTCTATTTAAAAAGTTATGTAATATTTGATTTTACAAACAAATTGCGTAAGGTATATGATATACAAGGTGTTGTTTTAAAGCCGCGCCATTCTCTAGGAGGTAACTCGGCTATCGATTCTGAGTCCAAATCAATAAAAAAAATTGTAATTTTTTCTGTAAATTACGGAAATCCGTAAGTGCGAACTACACGGCGCCGTCTTATGACTAGTTTTATAACGCGGCTTAACACACACAAACTCAAACACGTAATTGATATTATTCCTAATTCCATAAAACTTCAATAAGAAACATTGCTGTCGCTTATTCTGAAATACTGTCGAACTTAAACAATTTATTATGGCCGTATTTTGAACTATTGGCCCGAAACTTTCTCTTATATTGAATCTTTATAACTACTGTGACATGCCCCCGAGAAATGACACGCCTTCAAAACTACACCTTGTATATATTAATTATTGAATATTTATAGACGAGGGCAGTTACTGGGAGAATAATGCAAGAGCTTGTATTTACTCTTTTTCAAGCATAAAAAGTTAACTATTAGGTAGTTTTAATTTTCTCTCGCTCAACTGAATTGGACAGTTAATAGAAAAATTAAGTTTATCATTTGTTAAGAACTATTTTACTTATTGAGTGCGAGTCAGTCTTTATTTCCTTTCAATCGACCATCAGTTTAAAATGGAGTATAATTAATTTAAATTATGTTAGCATGAACAATCGATTTTTACGGGATGAGTGTGGGGCTAAATCAGCAGACGAAATATCAGCGCCACCCATGGACTACCATTGGCATAACCAGATCAGTAATTATTATGCCGGGGCCACACTAACGTCAACGTCAATGCCGATTGTCGCGATGTTTACTACGATAATTATTGCAATACTTTTAACGCGATAAAGTGGATGGCTACATTTGAAATTTCAACATGAATATTATGCAAAACGGCAATGTGAATGCCGTTGTCAAATTATCGCGTTGACTCGTGGCTACACTTACGGTAAACGTGCATTATCGCGATAAGCAATGGCATTTCTCGTTGGTGTGGCCCGGGCATAAGAGCATAACATTAGCTATATTCCTTAGGTCGGCGCGTTATCACCTTTACAAACTTTTAGAACTTTGAAAGTACTTACAATAAAATATAATCTATATGAAACTTTTAATGATTTTGAAATCAATACTTACTTCTTTTGGAACATAACGATCGAATCTTTCTCCAAGTCTGACATGTCGACGGTGGCACCCTTTTCGAACACGTCCTTGTGTTTGCGCACCATCAGCCAGCCGATGTGGGAGAAAAAGAAGCCTCGTCTCGCATTGTGAGGGTCTGCGTCCGTCTCGGTGAATTTGTGGTGAACTCTGTTATTGAAAGAGAGGAAATAGCTTTTAATTAAATTAGCATTTTATGTGTTTAGTGTAATGTGTTAAGTGTACGGGAACTAAATACAAGTAAAACGAGTAAGGGCTATTGATATACTCAACTGTTTTATTGAATCATATCTTTTTTACAAATTCGCGGGTTCAGCCAAGCACCATAGATGAAACTATCATCATAGACTATACCATAGGTACACATCAGGAATGGAGTTGTTGAATCTTTTCATAGACAAAATTTATGTACTAATCTTTTATTACTTAAAGTTATGGCCTTTCCATTATGCGTGCAACTATAGCTTTAGCCAGCGGCTTCGCCCGTGTTCCACTTGGATAAAAGTAGCATTGTGTATTTCAAACCATAATCTACCCTTGTTCCAAATTTCATCCCGATCCCTTCAGTCGCTTTAACGTGAAGGAATAACATACAAAAAACCCTTTGCATTATATTACTAGCATTCTAGAATCGAAAATCCAAATCTATATTATTATTATTAATCATATAAAAACATTACAATATGCTATAATAATTGAACATATTTTTATATATATGTATGTAAACAAAAAAGCAAAATAATATTGATTTTCCAAGTCTTAACTAGCTACATTACAAAACATGAAATTTATACCAATTCACAAACCTAGCGCACCTAGATTGCCGTGATATGGTGCACAACGGTGCACATATCCAACCACACGCACAGTATGACCTCAACAAATTAACGAAATATCCGGCACCAATAAGGTTACATCATAATAACATTTGTAGCTACTAAGTTACAATCTGCAAATATGAAATTATTTAGTAGTTCGGTGGTTACCCATGATAATAGTAAACATGGACATGTGTATTTACTATTGTCAAACAAGTCTCCGAAACCCGCTGATTTTTTATGTCAACCTCATTTTCAAATTTCATGGCCAACGATATGTTGAACTTAGATATTGAATTGTCCATGTGTGTTCGCTAAAATACCGAATGGTGCTAATTATCTAGTGTCAATGAACATGCAGTAACTTTATTTTCAAATTAACTACGTTTGAATATTGTAGAAAATTCTATTTGAGATACCTACTTTTTTTTGTTAAGGTTATCTCTGTTATCGATGATATTATGTTTATTCGTTTTATTAACATACTTTATCACGAATAATTTAAATTTTGGTAGCATTGGATTTAAACACATCATTTTGTAAGTACCAAATCATTTCGATGGCTCCAACGAAATAGTTTTGAAAATAACGATTTAAAAAAACTTTCATTCAGTCAGTGATTTAATGTGAATGTATTTCATGTACCACGAATAATTTCGTTGTAAATGCTGCCCTGGTACGTAAAGAAGAAATATATATATGTAGGTTTGTATTTTCTGATAATTTCTGATAAAACCATAGTTGAAATAATGCAATAGTTTACATATTTACCTACTTATTTATCTTGCAACGGGATATTAATTTAGATTAAAATTCATCTCTATAACATTCCCATCCAAATTCATTTTTACCAACATTTTTGCATGATTGGACAACGGACACTCAAACTTTCTCCATTGTAATAGATATCAGTACAGCTAATGTACGTTCATCAACCAACTACAATCTCCAAAAGATTTTCGACTTCATAGTGAGAGAATAAAGTTGAATTTAAAAAAATATTATTGTTACTACTGACCTGTGATCTCGGACCCATTCGTATATGTGATTCTGAAAGGCCATTGTCTGCATTAAAGCTAGGAATAGCCGAAGCGGCCAGCGCGCCTTGTATGAGCGATGTGCCCATAGCCTGTGTGCACCAGCCGTCACGCCCATACCTGCCATTACCGCGAATACTAAACCTGGAAATAGAAGTAGAGATATGATTAAAAATAAGGTAATCAAATATATTGTCCTTATGTATAATCAAATTAGATGAATCTGAATCATCCAGGCTTATGCTTATAGATACAGATAGTGTCATATACATCTTACGTTAGTTTTTGTGTAAAAAGTAGTAAGTTCATTGCCAATGCACTATTGCTAATTAAGTATGTACATCGTCAGACCTGAAGATCAAATCTAAGACATGTATAATGAGATCTACGAGTCGTGACATGCAAATAGTGTTAAACAGTATAAGGTTAGTTGACTGAACTTATTACTGATATTGATATTATGAATATTATCACTATAGAGAGAATACTTATTTGCACAACACGTTATAAGTATAAACTCTGAATAGTTCCAAAGCTAGAATCGGAATATGGTCGCCGCTAGGGGAGGCTACAAATAGTATTAGCTTTTAAATCATATTTTCGCTTGCTCGGCTGGGCCTCGCATGAGAGAGCATTTCGAATTCAAACTTGTATTATAAAATGAATATCGAATATTAACTTACCGAATAAAATGGTCCATCCTCTAACTTTCCCGGTGAACATCAAGTAGAATCCGTACAAGGCTGCGGCATGCAAGTATACGAATGCGAACACGTTTCTCCATACCACTTGCCATCTGTAATTAAAAACGTTGCCGTTAACATAACAGTAGCTGTTTTAATTACACACATAACAATAACATGCTCATTACTGCCCATTGGCATAGGCAAATATGTACCTTTCGATCTAGTACTTAATGTGGTTATTTCCAGTGATTAAGGACAATTTCCAAACATTGGACACATCTTTATGTTTAGGGATAGTCGTAGACATTGATGAAAATTACACTTTTTTCGAGGGGGGATAATCATTCAATAATAAGGATAAGAGAGTGTCAGACTCTTACTGACTAAAAACCACCCCGTTCCTACACTTGCACTTCAAGCCGAAGCCCCGGCAACTCGTTAAGTCCTTTAATTTAAGTTGTCATGATTAGTTTCTACATAGTTAATCTACACATATAATAAAATCGTATATCGTCGATTATTTTTTTTAAAGAATGCTTGGGGTGTGATCTTCATACGGCACCGAAGCTAAAAATATGGTTTATAGATTTTTGTCTATTTGTATGTATGTACCCACAGAACATTATAATATTATAATAATATGTTCTGTGTATGTACCTATGTATGTCCGGGCTAAACTCAAATAGTACTACATGGATTTACTTCAATTTTGCGTGAATATTACTAACAGGTCGGGATAACATAAACAACGCTAACACCTACGGGGGAGGAGCTGTGAATCACTACTCCACGCGAACGAAGTCGCGAGCAACAGCTAGTTTATAAATAGTAATGTTAATGTAGCTACTACCGTGCAGTTTCCCCTGCTGGGCGGCCGTGATTGTTCATAGTGTAATGTAGTATGCGTAATTTTTATAGGCTTCCTCAATAGTTTTTCAATTCAATTTTTTTACGTAACATAAGTCGGTAAACGAGCTGACGGATCACCTGATGGTAAGCAATCGGCGCCGCCAATGGACACCCGAAACACCAAGGCGTTACCGACCTTTTGGGAATTGGGAATTTTAGGATTGTCGGGGATAATTGGGCCTCCGGTAACCTCACTCACACGACGAATCACAACGCAAGCGTTGTTTCACGTCGGTTTTCTGTGAGGCCGTGGTATCACTCCGGCCGGCCCATTCGTGCCTAAGCATGGCTCTCCCACACTGACAATGACATTAGCGCGTTTAACAAAACAAATAAACTCTTTAGCTTTATATCATCACAAAGTGTATTCAGTATTCAGAGGAGTATTTGTTTTAATAGTTTTCTGTATGTATGTAATTAGAAAAATAACGACAGTGACTTGCAAATGCAATCAACTAATAGTCCAGTGTTGCAGTTCAAAGTACCTTCTCCGTTGATCGTGAACTCTCGTTTATTACTTAGTTGTTTATTATTATCGTTAATCGAATACCTACTCAAGTTTTTTTTTTCTAATAGTCCAACAGTTACTTCATTGTAGTGTTTAGTTGGATATTCATATTTTCTGGTTTTTCTTTTAGTTATAATTGAATGAAAATAATGCAAAAACTTGATTTTATTAGTACCAATATTTCATTATATTTATGCGACAGATTAATCACTAAAAAAGGGTATTTTTATAATTTTTAATATTATAAAACTTATAAAAAACCGATTCCAATACATAAAATATTTAAATCGATAAAAAATTACGCACTGATGACCGCCACTAAATACCGAAAAACTAAAAAGTGTCATTGTTACAATGGCGCACAAAACACAGCGAAGAACATTGGTTTTTTTATGTTTAATTTGTTTGAATACTGATTAAAATATTGGCAAATATTTAAAAAATATCCTTAGGTCCCTATTCTGTCCTGACAAAAATACTTTTTCCGTTCGATAAGTCTAAATATTGTTTACTAATTTTGAATGATATTATCAATGTAAGGTGGTACTTACAACTTGTACGCAATTAAAGATATTTCCAATAAAGTAATAATTTGAAATGGTCACCGAACTATAGGATTCTATAAAAAAATTTATTTGAAAGTTGATGATAATTTCTATATTTGTGACGTTTCATAATTTCCCGCCGCATCAAGTAGAATGCGAATGACGCATGTCTAAATCGACCATAGCAGAGAGATTAAGCTGCAGGACCGTATATGAGGAGGTGTATTTGCTCTAAAAATTGTATTATAGTTCAAAGACGTTACATTTAAAAATAGTTATTGATTTTTCGTACTAACTACTACTCACAAATAAAAGAATCTGGTACACCGAAACCACTCAACATATTTGAATGAAATTTAATAGGTACAGATATTACATGGGACTCATAACATAAATAGTGAAAATTGGGTGTTACATTGAGCAGTGACATAATGTACACCTCTGCCTACCCTTTTGGGATAAAAGGCATGCTGTTATGTTATGGTGTAGATATAGTTTGGGATTCGAAAAAGGCCATAGAATATTTTTAACCCGGAAACTCATTGGGAAGTCTGCGTTAAACGACTCCGCGACTTTCTATTTTTTTAAAACATATTTGGATAAAATTAGTTATTAATTAAACCTATAATTACAATTCGATACTCAGAGAACAATAGGATAGAGCATAGAGGATAGTTTTATTTCGAAACTAACACGGAAACGGGAACTCTATGTATAAATCCCGGGTCTCTGTGTCTAAAAATCCACTGAACCCATTTGACTGAAATCCCTTACAGTAATAATTTAAGCCCCAAGAAAACGCATAGACAGATTTTATCCCAGAGGCCTTACGGGAACGCAAACTAGGCGTAAAATTCAGGGACATCATTTCATTCAAACTACTGAACCTAGTTGATTGAAATTCTGTACAATGGTAGTTTGAGACCTGAGAAAGGAGAAAGGAGAAAGGACCTATATAAGTTTTATTCCGGGAACGCCACGGGCCCTGGACCGGGTACTATGCGTTCAAATCCCAGGATGCTATATATTTTAAACTACTGCCATT